ACGGGGTGGTTAGCCCTGTCTGGAGTTGCTGAACTCTTAGCTCACCCAGACAGACGTCCTGGCTACCCGGTCGGCACCACGAGGAGGTGGTTCAGCTCGCCGACCAAACTTCACGCTGGTGGCGTATGTCTTTTTGAACTACCGAATATACATCAAACAGGCTGATTTAACCCGAGGGTCTCGCCTTGGTCTATAAAAGTCACTCTAGAACTGCTTTAATGCGATTAGCTACCGGATTAGCGTCTTGCGATATTAGATCAGTAATCGACTTTGTTTCACAGCTAGCTTAACACCCTCACGGCACTATGGTATGCAGCTACGTGATATCAGAAGAGCTGGACAGATCACCAGATTTGCACCGGGTGCCGATTGATCCGTAAACGTGAGTATCGGTGCACATTTGAGATTCCGCAGGTTGAATCAGTAGACTGTTTGTTCACACGTTCTGGCAGGTTCCATATGAGTAAAAGGTTGCGTGCACTCACCATTGCGTTCAGTCGCATCTATGGACTGCCTTCCGGTGCCTGTTTCTAGACAGTATACATTTGTATAGAAGTTGAATAGGACGGCGGACCTCACGAAATTCTTTTGCATACCTAGCCTAAGGCGGTAGGGTGGAATGACAGCAGTAAAACTAGAACCGTCACGATGACATATTTGTGTAACTGATATCGTGTTTCAATTGACTTCGAGGACACAGCTGGTTCTTGTGAGTGGAAATTGCTCTAGCTTATTTCGTCCCCATTCAACAATAAGTGATTAAAGTGTTGATACAAACCCCTAAATCTGCGCCAATCATACAGATCCACTGTTGTTTCCAAGCTAAATTAACGCAGTATGGGCCAAAGTAAAATAGATTCATGTATAGACGTAACACATCATTCATAAGGTTGCTGGAAATTTTACGACAGCCTACGACCATCAATCTTATGTTCCATTTGAAACCAAATTGCTCGAAATTAGCGAAATGCACTCATTTGCAAACAAATTTGGTTTTGGGGGAGACGCA